AGACGCAGTGTTTCATCACCAGATGAAACACCGAGAAGAGAGTTGAAAATACGACGCGTAGCGGAGTATTTTTGACGAACTTCGAGGTGTTTCATCTGGTGATGAAACACTGTGTCTCATGTTTGATATTTCTTCTCAAACAAAATCATTTTTGAAGGAGAAATTAAGGATGCAAAAATGAGCAGTTTTTCATCCGATACAAACACTCATTAAACATTAATTTCCTTTGAATTTTCTTTATGAATTATTAATGAGTTTGAGAACTGATGAGGATAAAGGCTGTCCTTAATCAAAAATGCGAAAGCTGTGTACTCAGCAATGGTTGAATGAGCTCATTCAAGCAATTTCTTTCGGACTCAAAGGGGAGTTAGGCAAGCCGGTCCCCTTTCCCCATATTTGTTTATTCTTGCTGCGGAGATCTTGGCCAAGACCGTCCGAAACAACAAGGGCATAACAGGTTTTTCTCTGGGTAATGACGAAGTTAAGATAAGCCAACACGCTGATGATACCACTCTTGTCTTAGACGGTTGAGAGAAATCCCTTATACCAGCAATACAAAGTTTAGATGATTTTTGTCAGATCTCCGGCCTCAAGTTAAACGATAGCACAACGGAAGCCCTTTGGATCGGTTCTAAGACAGCACATGAACAAATCCTTGTTTCAGGAAAGAAGTTTAAATGGCCAAAATATAAAGTCAAACACTTGGTCTGTGGCTGTCAACTGATCCGGACATGGCTTTGACGTTGAATTACAACGAAAAAACTGAAAACATTAGGAAACTTTTGAGTTGCTGGAAATATTGCAGGCTCACGTTTTTAGGAAAATTACTGTCCTTAACTCACTGACCGCATCACAACTGGTATATTTGCTCTTCCCTTTACGCTCAAATCATTACGCTACAAAGGAAATAAATGACATGTTTTACCATTTTCTATGGAATGGTGAAGGTGACAAAATCAAGAGAAAAGTTATGATCAATGAACCTGAGTATGGAGGTCTGAAGATGATTGACCTTTACTCTTTCAACAAATCTCTCAAAACAACATGGGTTAAAAAGTACTTGGACACTACTTAAAATGGAAAATGGAACGTTATCTTTGATCTATAACTGGAGAACTACGGCCGCGATCTCATTTTCCGTGGTAATCTCAACCGTTGAGACTCAACGTCTCTGACACTATGAAAGAGATTAGGGCAACGGACCCCGTAACTAAAGAAAAATTGGAATATTGGAAAGAAATAAACTTTGTGGATAAAGTAAGTTCTGATGTCGCTTTTCAAGAACAGGTTCTGTGGTTCAACTCTTTGATAAGGATAGATAATGAAAAATTTCTTTTTTAAAGAGTGGTTTGAAATAAGTATCTCCAAAGTTAAACACGTCCAAACGGGAAAAGATAATTTTCTGACTCTCAAAGATTTTTTCTCCAAACATGATTTAAGAGTACGCCCGCTCAGTTTTTACGGTTTACTATCAGCTGTTCAACGAATGTACCGATACTGCTGAGACAAAAGACTATAACTTTGAAACACCGAGTGAAAACTGAATTGTTAAAAGAGAAAAGCTAGGTCCATTAATTTACCAAAAGCTGACCAGAGCCAATAGTTTAACTGCACGTAAAAGCCAACTAAAATGACTTCAAGACTGTAACTACTCAGGCGAAGAAGGAACATTTAACTAAGAACTTGCCTATTTTATGGCGCAAAGTACGGTGCACAAAAAGCACCAAACTGAGTTCCAATTTATACTATCACATAGGCGCATACCAACCAATGATTTCTGACTTAAAATAGGACGAAAAGAAAATGACATATATGCCTTTTGCAACAATTCCTCAGAGACGCTAATTCATCTTTTTTGGTCTTGCCATGTTACATCCTTTTTAGAAAAACGTAACCGACTGACTTCAAAACGCTCTTCCGTTAGTTGGCAAATACGACTTATTGAACATTACTGCACTGGGCTTGAGCCTCATTCTACAGAATACTCGTGTCAACTAAACTACTGTCTCCTGTTAGTACGGTTTCATATTTGGCAAGCCAAAATGGATGAAATATCGCCTAGTTTGGCAAATTTTCTACCCCTGATTAATTCAAGATCTATTATCTATTTGTAATGTTTTGCACGAACTAATTAGTGGAATTAGTTCTTAAATTTAGACTAATAGCTTTTGCAATACTGTAATTCCTTTATGGTCATGCAAATAAAGCATTTGTTGTTGTTGTTGTTATTATAGAGAAAAAAGCGGGGGACACTAAAAAATGGAGCTTTCTTACAGATAGCTAAAAATATACCTCTTGATATTGATTATTTCCTTTCCCCTGACGGTCAAATACTAAAAATATGTCAAAAGAATTGTAAACCTTGTATTTAATAACTAGATATAACTGACTGATAGTATACAATGCTATACAGGGTATACAGTGTGCACATGACTATACAGGGTACACAGAGAGTACCTGGGTATACAGGGTATGTATGGGTATACATGGGTATACAGGGTATACATGGAGTACAGGGTGTACAAGGTATACATGGGTATCCAGGGGTATACAGGGTATACAAGGTATACATGGGTATACAGGGTATACAGGGTATACAGGGTATACAGGGTATACAGGGTATACATGGGTATACAGGGTATACATGAGTATACAAGGTATACATGGGTATACAGGGTATACATAGGTATACAGGGTATACATGGGTATACAGGGTATACAGGGTATACAGGGTATCCAGGGTATACAAGGTATACATGGGTATACAGGGTATACATGAGTATACAAGGTATACATGGGTATACAGGGTATACATGGGTATACAGGGTATACAGGGTATACAGGGTATACATGGGTATACAGGGTATACATGAGTATACAAGGTATACATGGGTATACAGGGTATACATAGGTATACAGGGTATACATGGGTATACAGGGTATACAGGGTATACAAGGTATACATGGGTATAGAGGGTATACATGAGTATACAAGGTATACATGGGTATACAGGGTATACAGGGTATGCAGGGTATACAGGGTATACAGGGTATACAAGGTATACATGGGTATACAGGGTATACAGGGTGTACAGGGTATACAAGGTATACATGGGTATACAGGGCATACATGAGTATACAAGGTATACATGGGTATACAGGGTATACATGGGTATACAAGGTATACATGGGTATACAGGGTATACTGGGAGTACATGGGTATACAGGGGTATACAGGGTATACAGGGTATACAAGGTATACAAGGTATACATGAGTATACAGGGTATACATGTGTATACAGGGTATACAGGGTATACAGGGTATACTGGGAGTGCATGGGTATACATGGGTATACAGGGTATACAGGGTATACAAGGTATACAAGGTATACATGGGTATACAGGGTATACAAGGTATACAAGGTATACATGGGTATACAGGGTATACATGGGTATACAGGGTATACAGGGTATACTGGGAGTACATGGGTATACATGGGTATACAGGGTATACAAGGTATACATGGGTATACAGGGTATACATGGACATACAGGGTATACATGGTATACAAGGTATACATGGGTATACAGGGTATACATGTGTATACAGGATATACATGAGTATACTGGGTATACAGGGTATACAAGGTATACAAGGGTATACAGGGTATACTAGGAGTACATGGGTATACAGGGGTATACAGGGTATACAGGGTATACAAGGTATACAAGGTATACATGGGTATACAGGGTATACAGGGTATACTGGGAGTGCATGGGTATACATTGGTATACAGGGTATACAGGGTATACAAGGTATACATGGGTATACAGGGTATACTGGGAGTACATGGGTATACAGGGTTATACAGGGTATACAGGGTATACAAGGTATACAAGGTATACATGGGTATACAGGGTATACATGGATATACAGGGTATACATGGTATACAAGGTATACATAGGTATACAGGGTATACATAGGTATACAGTGTATACAGGGTATACAGGGTATACAGGGTATAAATGAGTATACAGGGTATACAGGGTATACAGGGTATACAGGGTATACAAGGTATACATGGGTATACAGGGTATACTGGGAGTACATGGGTATACAGGGGTATACAGGGTATACAGGGTATACAAGGTATACAAGGTATACATGGGTATACAGGGTATACATGTGTATACAGGGTATACAGGTTATACTGGGAGTGCATGGGTATACATGGGTATACAGGGTATACAGGGTATACAAGGTATACAAGGTATACATGGGTATACAGGGTATACAAGGTATACATGGGTATACAGGGTATACATGGGTATACAGGGTATACAGGGTATACTGGGAGTACATGGGTATACATGGGTATACAGGGTATACAGGGTATACAAGGTATACAAGGTATACAGGGTATACAAGGTATATATGGGTATACAGGGTATACAAGGTATACAAAGTATACATGGGTATACAGGGTATACATGGGTATACTGGGAGTACATGGGTATACATGGGTATACAGGGTATACAGGGTATACAAGGTATACAAGGTATACATGGGTATACAGGGTATACAAGGTATACAAGGTATATATGGGTATACAGGGTATACAAGGTATACAAGGTATACATGGGTATACAGGGTATACATGGGTATACAGGGTATACAGGGTATACTGGGAGTACATGGGTATACATGGGTATACAGGGTATACAGGGTATACAAGGTATACATGGGTATACAGGGTATACATGGGTATACAGGGTATACAGGGTATACATGGGTATACAGGAGAATGGACATTCTATTACTGTTATATGAAACACTAGGTCTATTTGGCGTAAGCGTAACATGAAAGAATAACCGATACCATGTTACTTGGTAACCTGGCGAGGTTCCATTGATATTTGGCTCCAAGGAGTGGTAAACTTTTCGTTGAGTGAAAACGAAATTTCTTTCTCGAAAATAACCGTTCTATAACGTTGACGATGACTAGAGAAGACTTAGAGGTATAAGGAACAAATTAGATGATATAATTACCTCTTAAGCTCTTCACGTTGTTGAGGATATCCGTTTGATTTTCAGGAGTGTTGTGGTCCCGCGTCGAGCAGACATTTGCAGTTTAGAGATCGTGTGCAGAAAACATTCTATTATGGCCACTATTCGGACAGATCATTGCCATCTTTGGCTGTGACAGGTACAAAGATGCTTTCGTAGTATTTAGTTTGAAGTACAGTTCTTTCGCTCTCTTCCAAAATGACATTTGGTCGTGATCTGCTTGTAACTATAGTTATTTTTGCAAGCATGCTTGCAACTGTATGTGCTCTAAAAAGCGATGACGTTTTACACTTTCTGCGTTCTAAATATTTTCATTGTTATTTTCAGCCTCAAGGCCTGGCAAAATTTCAAAATTTTGACTCTTTTAATGACGTCGATTTCGATGGATTCATTTGGCACGAAAATATTTCCACTCCTCACGTACAGCACGCACGAAATAAAATTGATTATATGCTCCTATCTGTTTCCTTTACGTTTATACAAGCTTAAATTTTAATCTTTTATATAGGTTTTCTTGACAGAAAAAGATATCATGCCGGCTCATGTGTTAGCAGTAACATATTGCTATTTCTCACAATACAAAAGGAATGTAAATGCTGCTTCTTATTGTTTTATGTTTGAAGCCTGGTTTAACTGTAGACCACCATGCCTTGAACAAATTAAATATGATACACAAGAATGAAGTAAGTGAGGAATAAATTTAACACGGTATCCTTTCTTGCGTGCTAGCTATCTATCAGTATACGGTACTCAGTAAGAAGAAAAGGCAAGAAGTCATTCAGTCAATAATAATTATTAGAAGTAAATCCAAAAATGAATGTGTATGCTACAGTGCTTAATTCCTCATTCTTTTGGTCCAAAAGTGAAACAAGTAACAGCTTTCCTTCTTGACTCATTCTCTCTTTATGGACTGCATAGCTAACTTCTAAGGTACACGTAGCTGTCCATCTTTAATCAATTTTTTTTTCCTGACGCCTAACCTGAAGATATTTGTCCATCTTGAATTAATTTTTTTTGTGTATTTTCATACAGCAAAGCTGTTGTAGGTAAAGAAACCATTCTCTCATTAAACCAGTATTCAGTGTAGTTTGATTCAGAATTTTCTTTGTCTCCTATCCCAGATTATAATTCTTTGAAGAAAAAGAAATCCTGGTTTAACCTGAGAACAGATTTTACTCACAACAGAGCCAGTGTTTTTCAGTAATGCCGTCAATGTGGCAGAGTATTCTGCCTGGGGCCTTTAGGTGCTTCAAAAAATATGTCGCCTATTAACTTTTACCGGTTTACTCCACAATGTAAAATAATAAGACAAAACTCACCAAATACGCAAGGTCCTTGAAAAGTGGCATCCACTTGCTAACAGGAAAACATGAAAAAAGTGAGCCAGCATTACATTGTAAGTTGGTCAGCTGTGTTATTGAACAGCATGAAAGTGAGGCAGAGTGAGTTTAAAAAAGAGCAATGTCAAATATATTGATCCCTGACTGAACCAGCACTGGCTATCGGCATATTAATTGACAGGTTTTTTTTTAATTCACCTCAAGATAGTGGTGTTTAAACAAGTTGCCACTCTCTTCTGTCATTTCCTGTACAAGACCCAGAGTAAGCTGGGGATTCATTAAAATTGAAGTAGGCAGTAGGTTTGAGTAGAGTAACCGACTGTATAAACAAGGGGCCCTTCCTCTTGGGGTGTCTGGAGGTGTGTTCGCCTGAGAAAATTTAAAATTTTTGAAACCCTAAAAAGCGAGTTCTCTTGAGTTTAAAAGATAAAGGAAGTTTTTTATCAACAGCAGCTTTTTTTTTTTTATTTTGCAAAACTTACAGTCACCCTTCATCAGCGATGTCAACAGAGGCCTTCACCCAGCGATGGAAATTAGAATTTGTGATTACTTACTTAACATTCTATTTGCTTATAATCTGAGATCTCGCATTAATTTTTTTCTCCATCATTTTTTTTTAATATATATTTAGATGTGGCAGTTGAAGTATTTAGTACAGTTGCTCCTACAAAGAGAAAACAGCTTGATGCAAGTTACGCTATGGCTGTCTCAAGGTTAGAGAGTGATGTTGTATGTAGTTGAAAATGAAATTCAGGGTAAAATAGTTTCAATCTACAGCTAGTTTGAATGTCAATTTTTACTTTATCTCCTAACCTTAATTATTATTCATGTTAACCTTATTATTTATGATGTGAATAATTATTAGTGTTACTAGGAGACAAAGGAAATTGATTATGCCATTCATGATTAATAAATATAATTATATTATGAGGGCTAGTAAATTGAAAATCCTCAGATACAGTAAAACCCGCAACTAATTATAAGAACCTGGTTTTGAAGAACACTGTATCCTAAAATTTGCCTGTTAGGCACCCTCTATACAGGAACCTGTTAGCCTAAAATTTGAAAGAGGTTCTTATTTTCCAAAATCTATAAAAAAAAAAAATCTGTACACTTGGCCAAATACATTGTAAGATGCAGTGTAAGTCAACATTCAGGATCCTCTTTGGAGACATAAGCGCCTTATAACTTCAAATACAGCACTAATTTAGTATGCAAGTTTTATTTAGGAATATGCTGAATACAACTAAATACTCTTAGTTACAATCAAAGGTCACATACAAAAATTCAGGCAATTCTGGCTAGAATAGAAAAATCGACAGAAGACTCGACATACCTTATTATAGGAAATTAACACTCCATGAAATTAACGCGAATCGTTAAAATTCGCGTTAATTTTGTTGAGCGTTAATTTCCGTGCTCTTAATTTCCCGCATTTTAACCCCAATTTTGGAACCTGTCCAGAAACATTAACTACTAGCTTTCTCTCTTTCCGTTTACCCTTTATTTTTCATCTTTCACAAAAGCTAAGGCGAAGGTTTACAATATTTCGAGTTCATCTTCATCGTTGTCGCTGTCAGAAGTGATGTCAATATCTTCTCCTTTGATTTCGGCCAAGATAATTGCGTTAATTTCCTTTATTATGAAATTTTACCTCCTCTTTCGCGTTAATTTTGTTTATTCGAAAGTCGTTTGCCATTAAATTCGCGTTAATTTAAGTCGCGTTAATTTCCAATACCTTAATTTCATGTAGCGTTAATTTCCTATAATAAGGTAGAATTGGTGTAAGACAGTCATGCCTTCTGCTCTTTTTTTTCCTTCAGAAAATAAGAACCGTAAATAGCCTAAATTTCGCTAATTACTAGTTATGTAAGAACCTGTTAAGGCTACAAGATTGTAACTTGGGAAAATGCTGGTTCTTACCTAGGGATTTTTACTGTAAGTACTGCATGTATGTGATCCAGATATGTGAACCTATGGATATTAGAATTATTCATAGAGACCCTCTCTATTTCATCGCACCTCATGCGCCTCACCTCACATCACTAACCCACCTCTGATTCCACCTGCAGTTACTCCCCACCCCTCTTCCCACCTGCATTTACTCCTCACCCCTCTTCCCATAGTATATGCACTCACAACTGACCCAACCCCCCCTCCCAAATTAGATTTTGAGCTTAACTGTTATCTCTATATTGTGTTTATTAGCTCTTTTACTTCCAGAACAAGTTATGGCGGGATTGTTTGTCATTCAAACTTTTAAATCTGTGGACAAAATCCTGTGTTGTTAACATTCAAATAAACTAAAAGCCTCTTTGGCAGAGCTTTAACATGGTGATATTTATTTCTTACAATAACCGTAATTAATAGGAAAATGGTCAATGCAGGGCTTCTGATATTTTGCGCGGTCGCAGAGCCACGAAATTCAGGTAAAACCGCGAAATTCGGTAGAAATCTTATCAAATACATGTCTGTACAACATATTTGAAATTTATTTCAGCTATAGGGGCTATTTACTTGCCGTAAACTTGCAAATTTATCTCGGAACTTCGTCACTGAAACGTGCAAACAACATCCCGAAACTACCAGGCGTAGATTATGTTGCGAAAAACTGGGCACTAGCCTTGATTTTAAAGGCTTTGCCATTGGTTCGTTTCTGGAGCGTATTGTTGTTGAAAGAGCAAATGTTGTCCTCTGTTAGAAAAACGTTAAAAACACTGGTCTGATCAGCGCAAAACCGATCGATTTCTAGCGAAATTTGCCTGGAAAAATTAATAACCACAAAATCAGCCGTTTTTTACCGATTGCTTTTTGGTGAAGTTTGTCCCCAAAACTCCTGCGAACTTCCCGCAAAATCAGCTGATTTTTCCACGAATTTGTCCCTAAAAATCCCGCGAAATTTGACTTTTTCTTCCGCGACCTATCTAAAGCCCTGACAATGAAAACCATTCTCACTTTTTTATTAATGTTTCTGTAGGAGAGCGAAGATATCCCCCTGTACACTGATGATGGGAATTCTTTATTCTGAGCGGCTGCGACAGAAGAACCCTGATTATCTCAAAAGGGTTTCCTCATCTGATTTGTTTCTAATATCCATGGTGAGTCATCTTTACCAATACTTCCTATGTTTTCTCAGGAATATGGGAATAGTCACGAGATGCTTAGCTTAGGCCTGGACCAAACATCGAACTTTTCTTCATGAGACAAACCAAACTTAAGTTCATGAAAAGTTTGACATCTGGCTCAGCTAAGTTCATCTGAATGAGTTTGGATCATCCACTACGTTCTATCCGTCTGCTTCAGATGGATAAAATGTGTAAAGATCGTCTCCAGGACAAATGTTGATCATATCACATGCGAGGAGATAAACAAATATGTATACAAAATATGTATGTGTAGCCTTGTTCAGGAGAAAATTTATTAAAATTGCTTTTTGGTCTGATCCATTTTATTAGTTCGATGCATCTTAAGTTCAATACCCAACAGACGATCTTAATTAAGTCAACCCAAATTAGAGTTTGGTCTGTCTCATGAAAAGTTTGATGAAAAGTTTGAAGCTTTCAATTTGAGCTATTTGTTTTAGTGCATTAGAGCAGCATGCGAAAAAAGTCATGTCCGGTAGCCAGGGGCTAGTGGATTTTGCTATCAGGCTGGTGAAATCTGTTCTTAACTTGCTCAATGGACAAGTTAACTTTTGGGGGGAATTCAAATTAAAAAAGGACTGTAATAGATCCCATTTGTCAAAAATTTTTTTCAGGCTGGTTATAATGACTCTTGTGCGAGGTAGCCCATGCTAGCTACAGCTTGCCCTTTGTACTGTCTCTGGCTGACAAGTATGTGGTAAATAAGTCTTTGTTATTATTGTCTTACAGATGGTGGCATCAAAGTACCTGTATGATGAAGGAGAAGATGAAGAAGTCTTCAATGATGACTGGGCAAAAGCAGGCAAGTAACTGTCTGTAGTGACATCTTTGGTAAACTGTCTTTTAGGCTATGTTCACTGTATACCAGATACCCTTTGCAACAGCACAAAAACTGTACCGGATAAGGCCTCTGTGCGCAGATAAGAACGGCGATTAATGGAGCAAAGGTGCACTGCACCGATCACTTAAGTGGAGTCACATATCAGGTATTATTATTCATTCAAAATATTTCTCCTTTTCTGATTGACTAAAAGCACACTCATAATTCCTCATAACAAGCTACTGTTGACCAAATTTGGAAGAATTTTGTGATATTGAACCGATTCATGACATCAAAAGTGCAGCAAAGTTGCAGGTTATTGAATCGTTAACCGAGAAGACCTGGGGACGAGGTTGAGTTGTTTTGGCAGTGAGAACAAAAATGGCGCACATTTCACTTGTTTTACCAGGAATAAATAGGCAAACTATTGGCTAAAAACGTAGCAAGAACAGCAAGAAGACAACTCCAAGGGCAACATCTGCTTTTTGGAGAATATTCGCAGAGCTAAACAACCCTTTAGCTCCTAAACGTGCCAATTAATGTGCCCTGTCAAAGATGAACGTAACATCGATGGAGATGTTTTAGCTTGTTTTAAACTAAGAATTATTTTGTATGAATAATAAAACAGTTATACAGGATAGCTTTTTGTGTTAGTGCAGAAAGCTATCCTGTTAATTGTAAACATAGTCATTGCTCTTATTTAATTTGTCCTTAAAGCCATTATTGTAAAATTGTCAAGCTGTATCGCCCAATAAATAAATAAAGACATGTCTGTAAATTATGGTAATTTGTCTTTTAGCCCTCTGGAGCCATATAGTAAAATTATCACGCAATATGTGGATACCATAAAAAATATACTTTCTACTGTGTCTGATCTAGGATTTTCTGCTAGGGGAGGCAATGTGTCCCAGTCAACAATTTTCAGAGGGCCATTTCGTTTTTTGGGGGGTCACCATATTTTTTTTTATTCTAATGTACCGTGTGTTATGTTATCAGCAAATGCAATGTTCGACAGTGAATTGAACATACAGTCATTATCTAGAGGAAAAATAAAATATTAGTTTATTCACGTGCGATGGATTTGAGATTTGATTTGTGGCAAAGCAAAAGAACATACCCTTTGGTGGATCAAACTTCAGACATTTGTACAGTGATCTTCTCTAGCCAACTCTGTTGAAAGTGGACGTTTCTGCTGTTTCTTCTTTGTGTTGTGGCCCAAAAAATGCTGAAAGCCTTCTTTGTTTTAACATCACTTTGCATTTACACACATCAAGACAGGGGCTCCCAATTAAGCACGTGAGTCTACATAATCTACCCCCTATAACATTTATTCAAATTAGTTGCTGGCAGCCTAAGAAAATTGATCCTTTTACATACATGGTATTCTCTGGATTTTAGTTCCTGCTTTACTTTCAACCTTCTGAAATTTAAACCAAAATGTTGTTTTAGCCGTTTAAGTCCCAATAGTAACCAAACTCAAATTTCTCCAAACAATATCCATACAGTGTCAAGAGATAAGTTACAATAATTAAGAAAATGATCACACAAGAGGAAATGCCTTGATCTTTTATCAAATTCTCTCTAGTTATTCTTTATGGAAATGTATAGCAATCAGTTTGGAGAATTTGTATGTGGATACTGGGGCTCAGAAGGTTAAGAAGATTTTGCACGAGGAGGAATTACATCTCCTTGTGTCGTTTTCTTTTGAAGCACAATTTTGAGTGCACCAAAATAACCCATAACAGGTATTTGAAGGGGACATCTTTGCTCAAACTGCGGCAATCCCGCAGTGGCACACTCTTCATCAACACTATCTACTCATTACTGTGCGACTTACTTGAACTGGGGCACTTAGGAGAAGATTGTCCAATCACAAAAGATTCTCAAGTTTTTTGGCAAACAGACCAATAAAATTCAAGGTTCAAGTAAGTAACCATTGAAAACTTTAAAACAATTAATGTCATTGGTCTTCTTGCCTAAAAACTTGAAAATCTTTTGTTTTCAGAAATTGTTGTGATGGGACAATCTTCGAGCTGTCACATTTCAACATGCTGAAATATGCTTTGAGGCTGCAACCGAGAGTGCTCGGAACCTGCGCCGAATTCAGCTGCTACTAGAGAGCTTAAGCTTCACGTATACAGCAAAATTAATGTGAAATGGCAGTGATGACCATGTGACCATTGTCCTCACTGTTTGTAATACCATCTTTTCGCAGTGTTTTCAGGATCATGATTGTTAGGAAGAAAAGTATTCTTGTTGATGATCATTCACATTAGCCCTCATATTTTGGGCCATCATCGCCATTTTTATGTCTGCCATTTGACGTAAACATGATGCTTGACCTCTCTACTGACTGCCATGAGCCTATTCGCTGCTTGTTGTTAATTCAGTTAAATTGCTCTTAACCACTTAGACATGCCAGTGAAATTTTTGGAGTCGGCTGATTAAATATCTGTTTTGTTTCAATTTCAGGAAATAGGACTGTAAATGAGGTAAACAAATTGGAAATGGAGTTTCTGGCTTCCATTGTGAGTGATGGCTTTTGTGTCAGTTTTATTTTATTCTACTCTGCTCTATTCCTAAGATTTTGCTTTTTGTCAGTTTTTGGCAAGGACACTGGCTTTTGTGAGGTTGTTCCTTCCTTCCTTCCTTCCTTTTTTCCTTGTCACAGCCTGATTTCTATGAATACTGGGCATCTATTCAATTTTAGGGCCCACAATGTAAACTACTGGGCTAACCAGTAATTGTGAAAGCCATTAAAGTTTTATTTATATATTTTGAGGGGTCCAAAAAGGGACATTTAATAGATAGAAGGCATTTATTCTCATAACTGTAACAAGCTCAACAAACTAATATGCTTTCGGCGAAAATATGAAGAGAGTTTTGCCCTTTTTTGCTAATTCGGAGTATTTTGGAGTAATTCTCATAGCGGTTGTCTATTAGACAGGGGATGTTTATTGGGGAGGGGCATCTAATATAATTTTAACAGCATAGAGGGGGCACTTATTAGATAAGAGGCATTTATTTGGAAGTGGGTGTCTATTAGGTCATTTACGGTTTCTTGTTAGTGACAAACTTATTGTGCCTTGAAACAGTAGTTTCTTGGTGTTCAAGATGGGTGTAATCAACAAATAACGTAAACCAAAAAATTGTAAAGGCACTGAACAATATCTAAACCAAAACATAATAGCCAGGGGAGGATCCAGGATTTTTCTTAGGAGGGGGTGTACCACTAAGAAACTACCATTTTAACTACCATTTTTACGGCGTTTAACATAAATTCTTCAACCTCGTCTCACGTTTTACTTCCACACCAATAAACTACAACGTTTTCTTTTTTTTTTTGGCAGAATACTAGTTGTATTAGAAAGCCACATGTCATCTCAGGAAGGGGGAGGGGTGCACACCCCCTTCACCCTCCCCCTAGATCCACCCCTGATAACTAACCAGCAAACATTTCTTCAACACAAGAAAAACCCCTTCAAACCCTTTGTGCTGAACATTCAACATTTCTTTTTGTCACTGACTTTTAGGACTGGAGCCTTTTCATCAGCAATGAGGATTTCTTGGATTTTGTCAACAAAGTGGAATCAAGGTATTATTCGGTGTTATCGTACAAGTAGGAATAAAATTTTAATGATACAGCCTGGAAAGTGACGATGCTTACAAGAGCTTTTCATTACAAAGTTTAAGTCACAATTCAAACAGGGTTTCAAAGGTGGTCGTAACCGGAGTTGGCAACTTACAAGAGTGGTCTCAAGGAGGGCATCAACTGTATTATTAAGACAATCTAAGATCATGGCATTTTAATTCTACAGAGTAGCAACTACACATGGACTTGGCCGTGGATGGTTCACTTACGGAGACCTTGGCACACTGCTTGATAATGCAAATTTTTTGAAAACTCTGGGGATTTTCAGGATGGAAATTCTAAAGGTAGGCAGTCTAATTTTAGCGGTGTGGCTCTCAGGCTAAGGAAACCTGTTAACATGGAATAAAAGAATATTTCGTTAGATGTGACCTTTCAAGTGGATGTACATCTTGTTTTCACATTATCCTTTCAAGACATATTCTTTCATGTGATATCCAAACACCAAGAAATGGGTTTTGTTAATCGAGTTTTTGTTTATTATTGTTATTTATTTTTTTGGAAAAACTTCAAAGGTGTACAGTGAATTTCATTTGGATATCAAAGCTGTGCCATGTGACAGTTTAATGCAACTTCTCGAATGGTCAATAATATTTCTGGATTGAATGTAATTTGTTATGGTGCCTAGCTATTTCAAATCAACAGCAGAGCACCATGGGTAGTCATGTGACCATAGGTCCATCTGTCCAACCCCTACATGTAAGCTGGTGTCAAGTGTCTCACTGAGCATTCCTTTGCCCAGTGAGGCTGATAATGCTGGAACAGAGCTGCAATAAAAGCTAGTCAAAGGACCATGTCTGATTAAAGTTTGCTTATGCCCTACCAAAAATGATTGTGCCTGCACATCAGTAAGACTATCATTTTGTTACTGAAAATGTTTATGGAAACTAAATAAACAGATTTTTCCTGCACCTTCCTCCGTGGCGTGTGTCTCACTCTCCAGTCCCAGTTTGTGCTTTGTTTGCCCGAAAAACGTGAAAAAATAGCAGCTTTTCTCCAGGCTTAAGATGAAAGTATAACAAAGTGGCCATTATTTTTTTAGGTGTTCTGTGCTTGTGCCTTGGCTTACATAATGAGTTTGTCGTTGGCATTGTCCCTAACTGCTCTGGCTAGTAGACATCATCAACTTAATTTAAGAACCACTGATGGACTTGCTGCTCCTTGCTTGCCCACTGAATCCACCTGCCATTTCCATCAAAAAGCTGTCACTGAAGTACCTCCAACACTGCAAGAAGGTGGATTCACAAATGGTTCCTGTAAATTCTGCAGTAGCTCTCGGATTCTCGCACAAGGGAGGAATAGTCTTGGAGAAAGATCACTTAAGCAGGGAGTTAACCAGCAGTTTGGTGAGGACCAATCAAGATTCACGTCAGAACATTTCAGGAGTGTCCTTGATCCTTATTCATATAGAATGCCTATAATTCCAAATGAAACAGCTCTCACTGTTGAAATTGTTCCCAGACTGTCCGAGGACAAAACCCATAGAGTTATTCCCAACTTATCATGCGGTCATTCTCATTTTCTTTCCAATTTGTCCTCGCTTAAAGTCCTACTGCAGTCTGCAAAGTTATCAACATCAATTGCGAAAAACTCGAACACAAACTCGAAGATGACTGTTGCTGAAGGTGACTCTCTCTTTTCTGAGATTTTACAAAGAAGAAGAAACATTTTTAACCATTTGTCTTCAAACCGGAGCTACGTTTGTATGGCATAATGAGATATTTAAATGTGTAGGTGATGCTCAGTGGGGGGGGACTCTGGATTTCAATTGACAGGGATGACCACAGGGTGTTTTTGGGTTTAAAAGCTCCGGTTCAGGGATTTTTTTAGATGGGAAAATTTGGCAAGTGTTTTTGTGGGTGACTTGATTAAGTAAGGGTTTTTTTGGCTGTTTTTTGTGTCATGTCGGTTAATTGAAATTCGGCATGGGATTTTTGGGGGGGGTTTGTTGCAAGCCCTACGGATTTTGGGGGGTTTTAATTTTTGCCCCCATTTGATCATCCCCGTCACTTGAAATCCGGAGTACCACCCCCCCCTTTTGTGAGATGATGACTAATTGTTCATAATTGACATAAGTGACTTCGGGTTTTGCTAGTCTTGATAATTTTTTTTACAACAACGAGGGTAAATATTTTAGTTTTGAGTGTTAAATAGCAGGCAAGGTACATTGCACACTGGGAAGCTATTGCTTGGCGGCCACTCAAGAAAACCATTACAGTGAACTCTGTTCTTGCATGTCCAAGTGCCAATTGCCAATGACCAATATTATTATCAAAGAAGCCCTTATTCTCGGTTTGCAGCCACATGACAAGAGGGCCATGTTGGTGTCGATACAAAAAACACTTTTTTCGTACAATTAGTTATGAAAATGGAGTTTAGTCCCCAGAGAGGAGAGAAATGTTTTTGTTCTTGGCCGTGATGTCACGTGCAAACCAGCAATTGAATTAGGTTTTTTGCATAATTCAATTAAATGTTGCTTTGGCCACTGGTTATTGGCAATTGGGAATTTGGCATACGGAACTCATTGCCATGATTTGCTTGTGTGACCACCCAAAAATAACTCCCCAGTGCGCAATTGCTGGTGACGTCACGGCAACCATGTTGGTGGTCAAGAACAGAAGCATTTCTCTCCTTTGGGAACTAAACTCTATTTTTATGTAAAATTCTTCAAGAGAAAATTCTGTTTTTTTTTTTTTACCCCCGGCATGGCCGCCTTTTCACATGGTTGGCATTGCCCAAAGCAGCCTTCATGGAATCAGCTATATATTTAGCAATTATTGGATGAGGCGGATTATGATATGAAAAATTATGTAGATCGAGGAGGGTGTTATCCACCGCACCTGGTAGCCAATTCGAACATTTATGGTGTTTCTAGATCAGCTATTTTTCACTTATTTCCATAACTTGCTTCTCTACATGGTAGATGATATATTGATTGACGCGAACATAAGGTGAAGTCACCATGCTTGCGTTCGATTTTGGGTACTATTTTGGTACTCAGGCTCCTCTCATATAAAGAATAACATTTTGTTAGAAGAACTGTTCTGAAACATTTAGTAGTTCACAGCATAAAAATAATGTTATTCACTCTACAAAGCGCTCTGTAGGAATTTTTGTTTCTTTAGTTGGTTGGCAATATTATGTCAGAATAAATACTAGACCATACAAAATACTAACATTAGCGACTGTTTTGTTTAATATAGTAACTCTACATGTCTGGGTTATTTTTCTCAGCGATACATTTTCTTGGTTGTAATACTTTTTGACATCACAGCCGATTTAGATTAGCCTGAGAAAACAGCCGTCATTTCGCGACGACACCACTGGTTTCCCCGCGAAATGACGTCTAAGAAACGAGCGTAGAAATTCCATATTGATGACGCGACACAACCCAGATAGATCTAAGTGGTGCCTCTGATTGGTTGAAGCAAATTTCACAGGCGGCACGACCAATCAGAAGCACTAGCCAGATCTTGGCACTGACGCGTCATCAGTATGGAATTTCTGCGCTCGCTTCTCAGACGTCATTTCGCGGGGAAACCGTTGGTAGCGTCGCGGAATGTCGTCTGTTTTCTCAGGCTAGATTTAGATGAACCAAAAACAGCCTACTTTTTGCAACACTACGAACGGTTTCCCCGCGAAATGGCGTCTGAAGAACGAGCTCAGAAATTCCACACAGATAACTTGTCACTACCCAGATCTGGATAGTGCGTGTGATTGTTTGAAGTAAATTTCCAACCAATCAGGAGCACTGACCAGCACAGAATAGTATCAAGTCATCAGTATGGAGTTTTTGCGCTCGTTCCTCTGACGATAGTTCGCAGGGAAACCGTTGGTGGAATCAAGAAATGGTGGCTGTAATTCTGCGGCTAACAACGTCGTCCAATTTGTGGTGGTTTTTGTATTTTTATCAATAATAATGCCTTGCAAGTGAGCTACATGTGCCCGAGTCTTAATTTCATCAAACTTTTTAACTGTTTGAACAAGTTAGATAAAGGAGTTTACCAAGCTGAGATTTATTTACTTGAGACGTAATTTCTTGCTTCTCACACAGACCGAATACATTTTTTATAGCGGACATTATTTCATGTCGGTAGCTCGAAACGGTAGTCATCTGAGTAACGGACCTGCAAAGCTGAGGCCGACGTTGTTATCCCCCGTCCCCTCCTTCTTTCCATTGGTGCTCCGTTTAATGCGACAAGAGGAGCCCGCAATCCTAATCTCCAGGTTGTTATTACGCATGCGTCGCAAGTATGCAGTCAGCATTCGTTTGGACTTCCAATAAGAATGAATGGAATGCACATAACGTAATTTGATCACGCGCGTTTAGGCCTTCTATCACACGTAATCTGATCACTCGTGTTTGACCGTCTGTCACGTGAAACTTACGCGGCAACTTACGCAAAGCACAGCGTTGGAGCAACAGCGTTTTGACCTTCGATCGCTGTTGCCCGCACTTGGTAACATTTGGTTATTACTAGTCTATCTATCCATCTATTCAGGGTTCGTACTGGGCATGGAAAATCTGGTAAGTCATGAAATTGAAGAATTTCATTTTTCAGGCCTGGAAAGTCATCAAAAATTATAATTATGTTAAATAGATTAGATAACGCAGTTGTCAAAGCAAGCACAATGTAAGATAGGTACGAGTTAATAAATGGCATGGGTTTTAGTGGACAGATCACAAAATACCCTAATACAAGGAAGGTTTTGAAAATATTTGAAAGTGACAAAAGTCGTGGAATTTGAACAGTTCAAAAGAGTACGAACCCGTTATCTATTTATTCATTTAATTATATATTTATATAGGAACATCTGGTTTAGCATATAATGGGGCTAATTTGAACATAATCCTTTAAAAAAAAAAACAGATCAAAGAAAATCAACGCCCAGAAAGCAGGGCACCAAAAATACATAGACAGGGGGCAATTAAAAAGATTGGATAGACTAGCGCTTGAAGTACCGTTCCGCCAAGGACTTAACGTTAAACAGTCCGTTGCCGATCTTATATCTTGTATAGCCCTGGATGACTCTTTGTAGCCGGTTTCGATACTTGTCGAGTTCGCTACCTGTTTATGCAGCCGAAGTGTCCTGAGTCCAGGGGGGTACTCCGGATTTCAAGTGACAGAGATGATCGAATGGGGGCAAAAATAAAAACCCAACAAAACCACTGGACCGAAATTTAACCCCCAAAAAACCCAATTTCCGAGCCATAAAATTTTATTTGCCGAAGGGGAAGTTGATATTGTTGAATAATCCCCGAGAAGAAGTCGAGGGGATTATTAAATGATATAACACGAAAAATCGATAGAAAAATTAGTTTTGAATACCCAAAAAAATCCTCCTTAAATCAAGCTACCAAAACAAATAGTTGCCAAAATTTTCCTACCAAAAATATCCCGAAATCGAAAATTTCCACCCCCCCAAAATCCTGCGATCATCCCTGTCACTTGAATTCCGTAGTACCCCCCTTAGGGACCTGAGTCGACTCAGTCACCCCAGGGAGATAAGAATGAGAAAGAATTTACCTTCAAACAACTGTCAAATCAAAATTAGGGTGCGTTTTGTGGCATGGGTGTCTCCGAGATTGGACTCGCGTCCCTCCCCACCCAATGTTCCACCCTATGCAGAATTTGGTGTAGCTAATGACTGTACGTTCAGATTAGTGTCACCTTTTGTTGTTCGATTGCGAGTTTGAGCTGAATGCCCTGTACATGTTTGCCTTTCAGAAAGATGAACTTGTTTCTTCCCACAACGAAGCGCATTTTTAGTAGCCTTTCGCAGCTTCTTATGCATAAACATGCAAATAAATGGATTGTAGCACGCAGACGATTTTGCGATGTACGCTGGAATCGACGCGCCGATGTCGCTGACCAGACCAGGGTCGTACATGGCTATAATCGAGGCGATGGTGTACGGCGTCCAAGCGAACAGAAAACCGGTTGTCATGACAACCCCTATCCACGCCATTTTGGTCTCAGCTGCGACAGTTTCTTGAGTAACAGTGGACTTTTCTCCCCACTGCTCACGTGCTTGCTCACCTAACTTGCCAAGAGTTGTGTACGACTTGTACAAACAGAAGATGATCGCAGCAACTGGTACGACAAAGCACGCCAGGATCAAGCACACGGCGTATGAGACATTACCAGCCTCTCTCGACTCCCAATCAATGGAGCAGCTCGTTCCAACTCCTTCTTTTACATAGCTTGACCAACCAAGGATAGGGAAAAAGCTCCAGACGAATGAGTAACACCAGAGAACTGAGGAGAGAAGCAGAGCTTTCCTTCGGCTGACCTGAGCGGTACCAGTTTTGTGCAGCTTGTAAAATGTGATGCAACGTTCGCACGCGGCCCCGACCAGATTCATCATGGATCCGAGACCAAAAAAGGTGGTGAGGAAACCATACGCGGTGCAACCTGCGTCTCCAAACAGCCACTCGCCTCGTGCGTTGGCTGCCACTAGCAGTGGAAGCGCTACCAATGAGTAAAACAGGTTGCTAAGCGTAATGTTGAGAATGAAGACGTTGGGAGCATCTAAGAGCCTGGTATTTGTGAAATACACAAAGCAAACGAGAAAGTTGAGGGCTACCCCACATATTCCAAAAACGGACGCAAAAGCTGCGAAAACTTTAAAGACGGTCCTCATCGTCAGTCTTTCACCTAGAGAGCGAAAGAGAGTAGGAGTTATTACATTACGTAATGGAGCATGGGCGAATTACGAAAAAGTATTTTGTGATTTAGATTAATTAATTTAGCTTATGTGAAAGGAATTAGGTCAGTAGGGCCTGATTGAGCAAACTGATCTGCGTCTTGTGCTGTCCAAATTTGGAAGATGTTTGCTATCACAGCCGAACATATGCTCCACTAACGTCCACCTCTCCACAATGGCCAGCTTTCTGCAACGGTCACTTTTTTGGCCGACAGTCCATATTATTTAAACCTCTCTGCAGCGGCCACTTTCTTCTGTCTCCAAGGTGGCCGTTATGGCAAGGTTCAACTTTATTCTACGTGCTATACTGACGACAGTGACTGGCGTTAATCGTGGAATAATGCAGTGGAACTCCTTTAATGCGACCACCGTTGGGCTGTAAAATCCTGGTCGTAATAACGAGGTGCTCGCATTAACAGTGTTTTTAAAATAACAAGATGACTCAGTGATGTTTTCGTTTTGGTTCGAAAGAATATGGTTGTAATACCTAGGTGGTCGTATAAACGGGATGGTTTGACGTCACCACTGACGTCAATAGGTGGGCCTCAGTGGGGTTTAGTGTTTAGTGTTATTTGGTCAATTCTTTAGTGTTTACTGTTTACGGAGATAATAGTGTTAAGTGTTTGGCGGGTTTTTCGTGAGAAAGAAACACCATAGTCTTTTAGCATTGTCAAATCTTATCTGCTTTTGGAAAATTTTCGGATTTCTCCTCGGAAATCTTCGGTTGTTCTTAGACATCTTCGGCAATCTTCGGACATCCTTGGTTGTCTTCGGGGGTCTTCGGTAGTCTCCGGAAATCTTCTGAAATAATGGGGAATTGTCGCAAAATGGCCGAAAACTCTTTGATATACTAAACAAAATAATATTGGCCTGTTTTTAGCTGTTTTTGTTTCTTTTTGGAAAACATTTGGTGGTAGGTGGTCGTATAAACGGGGTGGTTTGACGTCACCACTGGCGTCAATAGGAGGGCCTGAATAGGGTTTAGTGTTTAGTGTTATTTGGCCAATTCTTTAGTGTTTACTGTTTACGGAGAAAATAGTGTTAAATGTTTGGCGGATTTTTCGTGAAAAAGAAACACCATAGTCTTTCAGCATTGTCAAATCTTATCTGCTTTTGGAAAATTTTCGGATTTCTCCTCGGAAATCTTCGGTTGTCTTTAGACATCTTCGGCAATCTTCGGACATCCTTGGTAGTCTTCGGAAATCTTCTGAAATAATCCGGAATTGTCGCAAAATGGTCGAAAACTCCTTGATATACTAAACAAAATAATATTGGCCTTTTTTGGGCCGTTTTTGTTTCTTTTTGGAAAAAATTTACCGTTACAGTGAATTTTTTACTAGTGGTGTTAAAATGCCTAAAATTTAACTGTTTCATGTTACAGAGCCAAAAAATTAAGTGTTTAGTGTTATCTTCTAAATAATGGAAAAATTATCCACGATTGACGTTGCGCAAGACATTGGCGTGGCTTTTTATCTGTTTGGCAAGGAGAGATGGAAAAAAAGGTTTAAAAATAGTCGAATTACTGCAAGAATGCGCCAAAACAAAAAAACACTCGACGAATGGTAAATGTTTTTTGCACTTGAGGCATATTTGAAAGTACAAGAACATCCATTCATATCGTAAAACTGCCAAGAAACAGGCAATCGTTTTAAAGAAATTCTAACCGCGGAAGTGAGGTTGAAAATATTGTGAATTGATATAATTAAAACGATTATTCATGGAAAATATCTCTTCGTCTTTAAGCTTTAAAATGCATCTTTGTTGAAGCATACGAAACGTCAAGTTAATTAAAAGTTATATTTTTTAATTTCGCGAGGCGTTCTTTCCTTTTGTTTATCACCGCTAGTTGAATGTTATTTCTTATGAAGCTACAATGGCCAAGGAACAAGAGTATCTGTGAGTGAAGTCCCCTTTTACGAAGCATGTTTGAAGCTTGAGCCAGCAAGCTGCCGTGCGACCGCAGACAACTAACCGCAAAACGACGAAAAAACTTGAGAAGAAGAAGGAAAAGAAGAAACCTCTAGTGACCACTGTAGCCTTCCAACAAGCTCTTTCTATCGCGATAGGCCTCTCACGATATTCCCAAATCGAGAGCTTGCTCTCTCGCACAAGCGATACCGAATTTTTTTTTTCACACTTAAGTACTCCCATTCACTACCCTGCCGAAAAGATTCTTTCGTGGATATAAGAACCTGCCTTCCCATATGCGACCTCTAGGAAAAGTAGTAGTTTAATTTCAATCTAGTCTGAGACGCTGCTGATAAAACCGAATCAGCGGTGCAATATCATTAAGAGAAACTTTAGGCTAAAAAAGCCTACAAAAAATGAACTCGTGCTTTGATTAGTACTTACTCGCTGTTGAATGTCAGCCACTGCATGTTTTCAAAAACATCAGGTGCTTAAAATTCCTTTAAAAACTATTTCTTTCTTCCCGATCAATCTTACCCCTGTGCATTTAGCCGCTTTGCAGTGCCATACCAAGAAACGCAAAAAAAAAACGTCTTGAGAAACACTGGAAGCGAATCGAGACAGGTGATGTCGATTGACTCTACTTCAACCCGACGAAGTCGAAATGACCTCAGAAAATAATTTCCGCACGGCTTTAAGAAAGACGGATAAATTTGCATTCGAGTTCGGTCCATTTGTATAGCATGAAGATGATTCATTGTGGCAAAAGCTAGCCGCACAAAAAAACATTTAAAACTTGTAATCATTTCGTCCTTAAAGTGATTGGTCTGATTGGTCTGTTAAGCCTTGCTTACAATTCAAGGACTTGCTTCCTTCCTGAGAAAAAGGAAGAATTCTCAGTCAAACCTGATGTGATTAGATAAACAAACTGACCGAGCGGCACTTTTCAGAATAATTGAAACCTTTTTTTATGATGAATCAGTCTTGTGTGGTAGCTCAGATAGATTCGATTTTTGGCATTATTATAGAATTGAATCTGTCACAATGAAAAATCTATCTACTAGCGGAGAATCTCACATTAATACAGTCTTTGCATATAAAAAGCAGCATGTTTTCTAAACCACTCCTTGCTCAAAAGACACCGCTGAAAGCAACTGGCCTAGGGTTGTTCTATTCTTAATGTCAAATTAAGTTAATGTAACCGATTAAGGATTTATCTAATTGCGATTTCTTGAGATTTTATCAGGTCTTTATAGTATACTGTAATTTAGCACTCAATTCTGCGGCTTTTACAGTGCTCCACGAGTAGCCATTAAATCCCTTGAGCAGCTTTTAATTTAAAAATGGGGACTTTAAGATCCGAGGACAGCGACTGCAGCTGCGAAAACGTCAAGTGAATTCTCGTTCTTTCCATTTTTATCGCGATTTTTCAAACTCACCTCAAATGAAGGTGGAACCTCATGCAAGTGAATTCCTAGAAACCATATCCAAGTTCAAAAAGAGAAAGATTGTATAATTTCATCGATAGCTTGCTTTCGTTCTCCATAAAATTAAAAGTAAACGTTGGCATTTTCACGTCGTAAACCTACATTGAGGGAGAAGAAATGTACAAAGAAATGTGATGCACGAGCAAAATTGTTGTTTTGCTGATTTTGAAGGAGTTCTTGTTGCTCAAGTAGATTATTGCCTGTTCCAAGTCATTAGTGATTTTTAGGCAAATTTTCCAAAAACCATTGTTAACGACATCCTCCAGGAATAATAGATGGTAAGGTAAACTAACCTGAAAAAAAATAACTTGAAAGGGGAAATCCAGTACCAGGTCACGTGATTGACCACGCCCGAAATGTGCTCATGCCCCCTGAGCATCCTATAATACTCCTCAGATGGAATTAATTTAATATGTCCGCTGTATCGGTAAAAAGGTGCCATTTAGTGGTACAAATGGATCAGATAAAATATTGTTGAATGAAAAAGCTAAATCATTAACGTATAGGTTAAAGAGAAGAGGACATAAAAGGAAGCCTTGACGCACACCTCTAGTGTATTGAAAGGTAGTTTTTGGTTATTTCCAATCCTAATAGAACAGGTAGAGTTTGAGTATTTATGACTTTAAAGAAGTTTCCTCGGACTTTTATTTGTAACAGCTTGTATAAGAATCCACTGGGTGTCAGACCGAACCACACAATACTGCAATACTGCAATAACAAAAGTATGGTTCAACAAATGACTGATAAACACTCGTTAAATTTGAAACTGAAACAAAAGGCCTAAACGTGTTTAAGACTCCTAATTACCAGAAGATACTTTTTTGAGACACTAGTAATATAAGAACACCAATGTAAAAAACTGGCCAATTTCTACACCTAGACATTTGCTACTGCCTACGCTTTTAAAGCAAAATCCCGTTTATAGAAAGATCGAGCCCTTACCTCTTGTGTATAGCCTGCGAACAGCAGACGTATTTCCCGTCGTCGCTTCTCTCCCTCCGAAAAATAACGTGCTATTTTTCGGAGGGAGAGAAGCGACGGACCGGAGATACGTCTGCTGTTCACAGGCTACCTTGTGTAACAGTCGTTATTCTTTGGCTTGAACCAACTAACATGCGTACAGTATTCCGATTTTAAAGTAAGCCTGTTTGCTATCAGCCAATTTTGGAGGTATCGGAAATCTATGTAGTTCAGGGAATCTGAGAGCAGTGAAAGTCAAATTAGTATCATCTGCGTACATTCATGTGGCAGCATAATCCATTATATTACTAAGATCATTTGTATTTATTAGAAATAAAAGTGGCCAAAGTATTGAACCCTTGGGAACACCACATTTTAAAATGGATTTCTCAGAGAGTACTCCGTTTATATATACAACGTGATAGGATTTAAACCATTCCGATAACGGGCGGCCACGAACTCCAATATACTCCAATTTTGTCACTAGAAGCTCGTGATCTACTATATCGTCTATATCAAAGGCGTTCTTAAAAGGTCTAGAAATACAACTCCACTAATCAGTCCGGCCACTGTCTGTATTAAAACACCATTGATTGGTGATATCAGGAACAACAGCGATGGTTCGAATCCCGTTGAGGCCGAATTGCAATTACCACTGCAACGATCATCAGGGGCATCCAACGTCAATTTTAGGAAAATATCTGTTCGGAAGACGATTTCAGATCTAGAATTTTCGGAACATTTGTTGTAAAATTTCTTGCTTGCCTGCCTCTCCTAGGGTTTTCGAACACCAAAAAACTGGTATAAATGCCCATTTTTAATGGATGTTTTCCCTAAAAAGGTCACCTAGAATTTTCTGGAGCCTATTTTCTGGCTGAAATTTTCGAAAAGGTCAGTTTTGATCCGATCCCTACAATTTTTCGGATCAGCAAACTTTCAGCTATAGAATCCGAACAGATGAAAAATTTTTAGGGGATCAAAATATGCCTATATCTACCGTTTAAATACTAAAATACGTTTAACAATGCTATGTTTAAGTGGTTTTGAACTATATTCTCGTTGGGTGCCCCTGGATCATATCTTCACCTAAATTTGTATTTCGGCAGATCACATCATGTTCGTTCTCTTCGAGCGGTTTCTCCATATTAGGATTTTTTTTGGCGGGAAAACGAAGAGGTCATATTTGATGTTTTCATCCATTGGCTCTAATCGGGTGAATTTATGTCCGCCTCCCACAGTAGAGCACTTTCTTCATGGCTTTCCGAAGTTTCCTATACATAAACAAGTAAATGAAAGGATTATAGCATGCTGAAAATTTGGCGAAGTAGGCTGGAATCGACGCGCCTATATCGCTGATCAGATTTGGATTGTACATTGCTACAGTTGAGGTGACGGCGTAAGGCGTCCAAGCAATTATAAAAGCCGTTGTCATGACAAAAGCTATCCGGGCCATTTTGTTCTCGGCTGCGATAGTTTCTTGAGTAGCAATGGAGTTCTCTCCCCAGTGCTCCCGTGCTCGCTCGCTCAACTTTTGAACCGTTCTGTGCGTTTTGTAGAAGCAGAAGACGATGACGGCAACTGGAACTACATAGCAAGAGAGAGTCAACCATGCGGCGTAGGAAACATTCCCCACTCCTCCTGACTTCCAATCTATAGAGCAGCTGGTTCCAACTCCTTCCTGAACATAGCTCGACCATCCAAGGACGGGAAGGACGCTCCAGAAGAAAGAGTAGCACCAGAAAAACCCGATGAGAAGCAAAGCTTTTCTTCGACTAAACTGAGCTTCGCCATCGTCAAATAGCTTGCAGATTGTGGTGTAACGTTCGTATGCTGCACCGACTAGGTTCATCATGGCTCCAAGAGCGAAAAACGTGGCGAGGAAACCAGACGCAGTGCAACCTGCGTCTCCGAATAGCCACTCACCTCTGGCGTTTGATGCCGCCAGCATTGGACAGGCGACCAATGAGTACAGTAGGTCGCCGAGGGTGATGTTTAGGATGAAGAGATTGGGAGCATCTAAGAACCTGGTGTTTGTGAAGTAGACAAGACAAACGAGAAAGTTGAGAAGGACCCCAATGATTCCAAGAAGAGAAGAAAAAAGTGTCAAAACTACGAAGACTGTTCTCATCTTCAGTGTTCACCTAGAAATCTAAAGAAAGCAAAGTTACGGCTAATTAGTTGTGCACTGATCCATAATGCTAGTTTAACGAACAGTGGAATTTCCATTTCAACCCATTTTTTGCCTGAGCGTCCTGTCGCACTTTGTAATAACAGACCATCGCACTTTGAAATAAAATAAGCTGTCGCACTTTGAAATGGATGGTCTTACACATCTACTGTCGCACTTTGTAATAATCGTCGCATTTTGTAATACCTGTCGCACTTTGTGATAAAATTGTCACACTTTGTAATACC